AGTGCCCAAAAAAAAAAAAAAAAGACATTAAAAAAGATCGGACAGCAGGTGTGTTGTGGTGCACTGCGGTGAGTTGGGCTCTACTATATAATGCATCAAAATGAATGCCACTGCAACGCAGAGCAGATGCATTGCTATGTGTTGGGGAAACGCATGCTAATGCCTGTGTTTTAGCACACATTGCCACAGCGAACAAGTGTGAATGGGCCCTCATTTAGAGTCCTCCAAAATCTAGAGTTTCCTGCATTCAGGGCCGGATTTCCCACAACGCCAACCAAGGCCCGGCCTTGGGGCAGCAGGGAGTGGAGGGGCATGAGGTAGTGCATTGAGGAACCTGGCCCTGGGGCAGCAGAGAGAGTAAATCCGGCCCTGCCTGCAATAACATAGAAGAGCGAGCTCATCGGTGTGCAGCCTGCCCAGGAACGCTCACTCGTCCGGCCAGACATCCACCCATCAAGGCATTATGATATTTGCATAACTCCTCCCAAGAGCCAGCCCACTGCCTGCATCACTGCTGAGGGCTCTTTATAGAAGTACAGAGGCAGGGTGCTGTGATGTTTTCTGTGTTCCATAGCAAAGCAAAGACACCCGTTGATGACATGACTGCAAGCAGACAGGTGACACAGGAAGCTAAAAAGCTGCATTAGGGAATGGTGGTGTCACAACACAACAAATGGTGTCTGGCTCAACAGAGTTACACATATTCTGGCAACTAAATAGGACACGTATGTATCAGAGTTGTATGATCACCTATTTGGCAGGCGTTCACCTATAGCACATAGGTATATCAAATCACATTCTAGTCATTTTGCTGTGCTGAGTGACATACAGAGCCATTTTATGGCAATATACTGCAGTGATGACTGAATTACTGCATTCAGACATAGTGGCGTAATGCTTCACCCGCGGTCGCCTGTGCTGCTGGGCATTGACGTGGTTTACTACAACCATGGTGACCCCGTTAGCAGCCGTGACCCCATAGGGGCAGCAGGTGTGATCCCTCTGTATAGCATGCTTCATGTGGTTCCATATGTAGGCAACGCAGATAGGTGAGGAAGCCGAGATGAGACATCCTGTGCGTTGTGGTTTACACTCTGTATAGACGAAGCTGCTCATATCATAATGCTTCACTGAACCGAACCATGAGCAGGAGCCATCAGGTCGGGGCCGTACAGGAGGATCTGCTCACACAGGAAGAACACCAGGGTACCTAATAACTCAAAGTTACTACACGTAGTATACTAACAGCAGGGCCGTGACTACAAATCAAGGGGCACCATTGCAAAAATGTGATGACAACCTCTCTCTGAGCTGCGAGTAACAATGCCAAGATCTCAAAGACTTCTCTTGTGTATCTGAAGTCGTCTCTACACTGTAGACTTTATCTCCAGCTCTTAATGACACAGTGCTTTATTATCTTCACACGTTCTATATTTAATTTACCTCAACAACCTAATGGGGGCCCCCTTCTACTCCCAGGCCCTATAGCAGCCACCTGGGGTTCTATGGCTATAGTTACACCACTGGCTGACAGATGTATTTAAAGGGCCAATAAACGTAAATGAGATCATTTTCATCAACTGCATGATGCAGAAGAGTTTTGAGTTACATGTATAAGTAGATCTGTTAAAGTGGAACTAAAGCTGGTTTAATAAAAAGTGCCGACAGGAGGGACTGGGTATGGCTACTGCTATAGTTGTTTCTACCGGCCTGTCAGCACTTTTCTCTGTAAGTGCACACTGGGCTGGGTATGAGTCTGAGCATGAGTCTGTGCCGGGATGAAGTCTCTCCCGTGCCCATGCCTCTACTACGTCACCATCCCCAATTACCTTCTTGCCCCCGTTTGGATATTATAGCTATTATGTATTGTTATTATGTACATTTGTCCTAATAAAAACCTTTTAGAACAAATATCAGCATTATTATGAATATTATTGATTTATAAAGTGCCAACATCTGCCACAGTGGTGCACAAAGTGACGACACATAGAGGCAACCTGTACTTTGCTTGAACTAGTCAAATCTACAGGTAGACCTGATAGACGGCACCACTAGGAACTAATACTTAAAGTGACCCTGGTAACGCTCGCTAAAAAGTTCCCAACAGCAGGACCTTGTAGGAGAAGTATTATGCACACCTCTCTGGTGGCCCAGGACTCATACCTTCCCTCCATTCCAGTACTGCAACCTTTATCAGGCAAGACTCAAGACCTAGGACCGTTAGACACTCCAGACTCAAGACCTAGGACCGTTAGACACTCCAGACTCAAGACCTAGGACCGTTAGACTCCTGTGACCGTTAGGCACTCCAGACTCAAGACCTAGGACCGTTAGACACTCCAGACGTAAGAACTAAGGCCCAGGACACTCAAGGCCCAGGACACTCAAGGCCCAGGACACTCAAGGCCCAGGACACTCAAGGCCCAGGACACTCAAGACATAAGACCCTTTGGCACTCAATGCTTTTGGGATCCCTATGTCCCCTGTTGCACACGGTGGCTCCATTCTCGGCCCCTATGTCACTATTAAGTTCTTGAAGTGACACGGGGGTAGAAGGAAGGAACCAGTGTGCATAGGGAAGCTGCATCTCTGGAACAAAAGGAAGGTAGAACAAAAGGGCTCCCAAGAAGTCAGTATACAAATTCTTCTATAACAGGTACCTGCCAATGGGATTTTTTTTAGAGACAAGGTCACTGTTCCTTTCCAATGCTCTTCTTCCATCCCAATCCACTCCTGTGTAAGTTAGAGTGTATACCCTGCCCATCTCCAATCGTCACAAATGATCGTGTACCCCACAGAGGCTATAATAAAGGCAATAGACAATACACAAACACATGGAATTATAGAGACCAGATCCCAAGCAAGCCTACACCCTAAGGATTCTCAAAGACACGGAATGATACCTGCCTGGTGATCTGGCCCATAATGGTTGGATCAGGAAAACAATCTATGTCTGTGGGCTCACTAAGGGGCCGATTTATGCATTTTCGACCCAGCCATGCACTGGACACATGCTGTTCGCATGGCATTTATGTAACGATTTAAAAATCTGCCCAGCAATACACTGGGCCACTGCTATTCCCGTCACTAGATGGAGCCGAGGAGCACACACATTTCCTATGCTCCTCTGCTCCATCTAGTGGTGGAAATTATATGGGAACGGCATTCACCCAGCGTATATATGGCTGGGCAGAAGATTTATTAAATCGCCCCCTAAGACCTTTGTTAGAAATGAATAAAAATTACAGACAGGATGAGGCACAATGGAGCCTTCTTAAAATAGAAAGTATTTACATGTCTCATGTCATTATAAATCCCATTAAAAAAATACAAAGCAATGCAAATGATCTTTTATGCTCCTTGGCCAACTTTGCATTCATTACAGCTGGTTTATAGTTTGGGATAAATGTATCTATAACATTAGGCTGTACCAGTGCTATAAACTAGAGGCTCTGGGTGCATAGTTGACCAAAGAGCATAAAAGAATGATGTGCATGGCTCCCCCCACTATCCTAAATAAACCTCTTATTTTTGGGATTCGGGATAAAATGAGGCATGTAGATACCTTCTTTTTTAAAGAGAGGTCCACTGTATCCAGGGCCGTCCGTATAATTAGGCAGCCCGAGTCTGTTACCTCAGGAATCATCTCTTGAGGTAATTTGGGTCAGCGGGCAGATCGGCATAATGTTTGCAGTCTGCATGCTGCCCCCTTTCCACCCAGGGTGCCTCAGGTTGCTAGAGGGCAACCTGGGACACGCTAGCAGGAGTCCCACCCAACTCCTGGCAACCAGTGACTTTCCATTGTTGCAGTAATAACTCAAAATGTGAACTTGTAATGGTAATGGCAGGAAATGGCTCACAATGGTCAACGCCACATGTTTTTATATATATATATTATGGCAGGGGAGCAGATGCAGAGCTTTTTCTAGAGATCTTACATGTTGCCACAGATAAAGGACACTTACCCAGACTTCACTAGACACTCATGGGTCTTCAAAATATCTCTAAGGCGTATAGAGCGCAGAGGATCGCGATCCTAAAGAATAAATTGCAAAATTAGATTAAACCGAGACATACGACATAAGACACTATCCTGACATTGATGCCATCACTGGATTTCTTTATAATCGGTTCTAGCAAAATGTGTTTGGTCCGAACCCAAGCTCAATCAAACCTGGTTGTTAGGCTCAGGGCATGCCCAATCAGCTGCGGCTGGGGCCTTCCATGCCCTGCAGCTGCATGTAAACAGAGAGGCGGGATGCTGGTGACAACATTGACCTTATGTGGCCACATGACCATATTAGATTAATGCCACATGTGCAATGATATCTCATGAGAACAGTCCTGCAGCAATACTTTTCAAGCATGCCCATGAAGATAGCGTTCATTTTGCTACATGAACGTTCTGGTGTTAGTCCACATAAGAAAGAAAAAGGAGAAAAGACACAAACAGTCCTAATGACGGCATGGTGGTGGGTCCGGTGTTTGGTTTTGTACACATAAGCATAAAAAATGAGCTCCCTGGATATTGGCGGCCATGGTCATCGTCAATAAAGGCATCATTGGCAGAAAACGTATTGGTATGCTGGTGCTGGTGATATATTTTCTACTGGTTACCACAGCACCCGGAAAGATGGGGTTGATCAGTTCGGTGTATGGTGGGATATTTGTATGACTGATTGCTCTGTGGCGTGCAGAGACTTTGTACTGAGCTGAATGTCTCAACACAGAATTTGGGAAATTGTTTAAAATGACAATATCTGTGGCTTCTGACATCATGGTCCCTATCTACCTCAGGGGTGGTCATTGGGTTTAGAGCAGCAGAGCTGCTGGATTTGCTTCAGCGTTTAGTATAGTATACGAGTATAGAGCTCTTATCCAACGTTACCAGTTGGTCTACCACGGGGGCGCCCATTAGGTAGATGGTGATCTACCAGTAGTTCACAAAGCTGATGCTGGTAGATCAGGAAGGGTGTGAATGGCGGCCCCTTTATTCCATTTTGGTATATATTTTTAGCTGTGCACACATGATTACCTATTAGCCTGAGGCTGCTGAGCCAAGCTCCCTGACACCTTTCTGGTAGATACTGGTGGTTGTAGTGCTATGTATTACATCAAAGAATATTAGTTTACTCAGCCTGTTGCACTGCACTGTCTGCAAAATATAGCAAGGTAAGCCAGGAGAGAGAGAGCGTGGAGAGACAGCCAGGAGAGCAAGGAGAGACAGCCAGGAAAGCGAGAGAGGATAGACAGCCAAGTGAGAGGGCAAGGAGAGACAGCCGAGACGGCAAGGAGACAGCCAGGAGAGAGCGAGGAAAGATAGCCAGGGGAGCGAGGAGAGACAGCCAGGAAAGCGAGAGAGGATAGACAGCCAAGTGAGAGGGCAAGGAGAGACAGCCGAGACGGCAAGGAGACAGCCAGGAGAGAGCGAGGAAAGATAGCCAGGGGAGCGAGGAGAGACAGCCAGGAGAGCGAGGAGAGACAGCCAGGAAAGCGAGAGAGGATAGACAGCCAAGTGAGAGGGCAAGGAGAGACAGCCGAGACGGCAAGGAGACAGCCAGGAGAGAGCGAGGAAAGATAGCCAGGAGAGCGAGGAGAGACAGCCAGGAGAGCGAGGAGAGACAGCCAGGAAAGCGAGAGAGGATAGACAGCCAAGTGAGAGGGCAAGGAGAGACAGCCGAGACGGCAAGGAGACAGCCAGGAGAGAGCGAGGAAAGATAGCCAGGGGAGCGAGGAGAGACAGCCAGGAGAGCGAGGAGAGACAGCCAGGAGAGCGAGGAGGGACAGCCAAGAGAGAGTGAGCGAGGGAGGTGTTTTTTTCCATTGGTAGATCTCATGTAGCTCGTCATTTGAAAAGTAGATCTTAAAAACACAAAAATTGTGGACACCCCTGATCTACCACATCTATAACAGAGCCATTACAATGAATGCAAGCTTTAGAAGGTAAAGGTCCACGTCTACTCACTCGAATATCTCCGTAATAGTTGGCTATGAGGAAGAATGAATTACCTTTTCACATTTGTAGTAGCTAATGGAAAACATGTCCAAGACAAAATATCTTCTCTTCCAGTTTTTCCTCTGCAAAGAAATAATAAAAAAAAAGACTTTTATGTAAATGGAGAATTTTGGTGATTCACAGTTCTCATGTTTGACCACAACAAAAATCTGTGTAGGCCACATCTACGGTAGGTAACACCTAGCCACCTACACATTGCGATGATCCTGATGGTACCAAATTCTTCTCTAGTCTTCAACTCTTTAAAAGTGCAACTCAAGGCAAAACATTTTTTTTTTGAGTTTTGGATAGAGTGGAGAAGGATTAGAACCCCTGTCAGGATTGTATTGGTGTCTGTGTCTGAGATGCACCCTGTCTATTTGTCCTTGTGACCGTTATCACTGAAAGTGAAAGAAGATCCAACATTTTGTCCTCAGTCAGGAATAAATGGGACATTTTCCAATAGGCACAGTGGTTCTGGTGGTCCGTGCTGACCACCAATGACTTCCCTCACTTTGCAGGGGTTTCCTCTCACTTTGCGTTTTGGCTACCGCACAAGAAGTGAAGGGAAATCTCCCCAATGGGACACAGATGGCAAAACATGTTGACGGGGTAATAACCCCTTATTACTCTATCCGAAACTAAAATAAAAAGCTTTGACTTCAGTTCTTGCCGGTACTTAAAGTCTAATTCTAGGTTTTGGACCGTGGTTCATGTTACACCCATATTTAGGGTGCTACATGAAACAAGTAATAGAAGAAGTCAATGGCACTCCGATATCAGCTCTACCATTCCATCTTTATCAAAGTTGGATAATCATATCAGCACATTTAAAAGGCAACGTTTCGGAACCCAGTAGGTTCCTTCATCAGGCAAACAAATGTTGCCTTTCAATGGGATTGATATGACTATCCGACATCAAAAAAGGAACGTCCAAAAGGAATGGTAGAGCGGATACTGGTGTACCGGTGACTTCTTCTATTACTGATTACGTGCCATCTACAGTCACTGCAGCACCGACCCAAGGATCACGGGTTTACATCGGTCAGGCGTATCATGGGACGTCTATGCGTTTAACACGAAACATGGTCACAGTCCTCCACCATTAAAGTGCCCGCCACCCACTTTACCTAAATGGTGGGATTCTCCTCCCCGCAGCATTTTTCTTTATTTGGCATCACAGTGTGCTATCATCCATTCACATGGATCTGTGGATGGAAGGCCAGAAGTCCCATTTGTCACCACAGCAGAAGGACTCTTAGACCTCAATGGAGCACAAATCTGTTGACATCACCGCATGTGTATTCCATTGATTGCTTCCTCCAGCCCCATAACAGAACAGGTCTGTACAACCATACGGACTCAGGGCTGGGGGAATAGTCAGCAGTAGCCTATCCATCACCTGTTCGTGGTTGCAATGCTCTGCAGGCTTAAATGAAAATAAATATTGAATGAAACTTTTTCATTCTATTAATTCTTAAAAAAAGGTGGACTATGTCTTTAAAATGCATTAACATACAACGTACCCCCCAGTCTTGGGATCTTTAACTCTTTGTTAGGACAGAGTGTGTACAACCAGCTGATAATAGGATCTGCCAGCACAGTGTAGACAGGGTTAATAATGGAAAAGATAACTCCCAATTCCCCTCCTTAACATTACATAGAAGAGGAAAGCTGGATAATGTTTTAAGCAAATAAGAAGTAGCAATTTTTACTTTTAAGTTATGTTATGTGAATGGGAACATGTATCAAATATAAAGTAGGTGTTATCCCAATTTGTCTGCAAAAGTTTAAATACACTTTAATATCGCTGTCCCTTGCACTGCCCATGCATTGAAATAGAGCATTGCTGGGTATGCTTACAGATAGCCTATTGTGTCACTGCAAACACAACTGAACTTCCAGCATAATAAGGAGACGGTTATTTTCGGCGTTGGTTTTGGGTGTGCAAACACAGAACGGGTTAACTGTCACTTTCAGTCTCAATGTCCTCTTCCTCGGCACGCCTTGTGCAGCTACCACGTGTGATCTTGCTGGCATGATGCAAACGCCAGTCACCTGGGGATGGAAAGGGGCAGCACATGACAGCCGGCCCGAAGGAGCCAAAAGTGTAAAGGCAAACCTGACAGTGCAACTGCAAGACTCCCCCATAAACACATAATCAGCATTGTACGTTGAAAGGGAAAAGGGTCGGGGATGGCCAGTCCTGAGTCCAGGTCCAACCATCTGTACTGAGCCTTGCATAGAACTTGGTATAGTAAGTAGGATTGGTTCATTGAGGAAGGGAGGATAAAAACCACACCTTGGGGACCTGGTGGACCTCCAGCTTACATCCACAACAGGCAGTGGACTGGGGTACATCTCAAAAGAGGCATTATATAGTGAGGGGGAGAAGAGGTCTTATTGCATGCATGCTCTCAGTATAAATAGGTTTTCCTGGTGTTGGTGATGGTGGAGACAGTACACAGAGTGAGAGTATGGTGCACTATGAGCAGAAAATACTTGTGTCCTATGGTGTCGAGTTGGCTTGGCCAGAGTTCACAGACAGTGACCCTCCAGAAGGGTTGAGAAGAATGCTGCATCTACGAATAGAGCAGACCCTCTAATACAGGGGTGCCCATTAGGCAGATCGCAAAGTGAACATTGGTAGATGGCGATCGGCTCACTGACCTAACCTCCCTCCCGCGGTGCTAAGCCGGCTGAATGTGTCAAACGCTGCAGACGGGAAGGGGTGGGACACCTCTCCCGTCTGCAGCGTCGGCCAGCACACATGAGAGGACAGCACACATGAGAGGAGACCTGAGAAGCTGCTGCAGTGCAGATAAGCAAATACAGCCAAGAGAGAGAAGGGGCAGGAGAGAGAGAGAGAGAGAGAGAAGGTGTGCGAGAGAGAGAGAGAGAGAGAAGGGGCAGGAGAGAGAGAGAGAGAAAGAGAGAGAGAGCGCGAGGGTGCAGGAGAGAGAGAGATATCGCCATGAGGTATCGGATGACACATGACCATGGATGACTTCAGGTGCCACCATGAGCATCAGGTCATCCTAATGTAATTATTGCACTGTAGACGCTCCAAGAGGAAGAGAATGGCGAGGTTTCTGATATTTTGTATATTTATTCTTCTCTCGTTATTTATGACATGGTAACAGTTCCCTCCAGTCACGTGCGGTACAGGTTTATCAATCCTCTATGTACATTTCTGTCATCTCTGCCGAGTCCCTGTAACCACATAAACCAGAAGACGATGAGAGGAAGGTTGACATACTAGACACACCCTACCAGGAGCCTCAAGTGACGCATCGTTCTACTTCTGACCCGCTGCAATGACGAAAATGATTATTTCATGATCATTATCGATCACACGCCGATTCCCAGAACAGGCAGATGTGCTACACTGTCAAGGATATGCAAACCTAATGACTAAAATGTAAGATTTAAAGTGGCCCTGTCACCCATGGGGTCCCTTGCAAATTAAAGTGTGTTACCACAAAAATTCATTTTTGATATACGTGTCTGTGATTCCACGTACATGTTTTGCAAAAGTGCCGTGTCCTCCTTTCATTTCTTGCCAGGTGATCCTGCCAGTTACTGTTCTTATGCAATCTGACCGCGCCAAGCACAGAAGCAGATCTGGGTTGGTGTGGCCAGTGCTTCGGGATACAGGACACCTCGCTGACACCATGACAGTGCATATAGGACACCATGCCGATGCGCAGCATAACTGTATCTCAAGTAGCCACCACGCTCCTGCTACTGTTGCAATAAGGCTGTGACAGTGGCTGAGAACCATTGGCCAATCACAGGCTGCCTTATGCGGTTGCAGCCTGTAGGAGTGCGGCATTTTTCTGTAACGCACTTCTGGAGAACGCACTTCCTCGCTGTGTGTGATGTCATTCACTGCCCACCCACCTGAACAGTCACGCCTTGTGGGGGGAACAGGAATGCGAATGAGGCTGCGTGGTCACGTGACCACACAATAAAACTTAAAATGGTTAAATAAAATTATATTTGTTTAAATTAAATGCAATTTGAGTCTAAAAATAGTATTTGCTATAATACAATGGGATACAAATCCCCAACCTGTACAAGAAGAGGCTCTATCCACTTGTAAATCTGCAACACTTTGCCGCAAGCGCTTGCTAGAATTTGACTTGCTTGCTTCAAGCGCCGCCTACTGGCATACGAATTGCTTGCTGCAAGTGCCTGCTGGAATTTACCTTGCTTGCCACATATGCCAAGCTGGAATTTGATTTGCTGGCTGCAAGCGCCTGCTGGAATTCCACTTGCTTGCTGCGAGCTAGTAAAAATGGTAATTGCAGCCAGTGTTATTAATAGGGAAGAGATGATAAGGGCGGTTGAGTTTCTCAGAACAGGTGGTGACCTTAGTCATATACATGATAAATGATATACACAGCAAAAGACATCCGTGAGAATGGGAACCTTTTCTTATGACCTCACGAAACAAAGAGAGTGTCAGGTGGTTCTAGAATCAGGTCCCAGAGTCCCTGGCTAAGCAGCATTGCTTCCTCGGTTCCCCTTATTAGTGTGGTTTTGGGTCAGGACCGGTTCTCGTGACCCCGGGATCACCTGGAATGCAGGGCGGTGTCACTTCACATAGCTGGCTGCTTGCCCTTCAGGGCTACAACTAATGAATGGAATATTTCAACGCTGATAAATCGCCCGCACACTGTCATTAAGATTCCTGTGTAAATAAGACCCAGTTAATGACTTAATTATAGATGTCTTTTATTTAGGTCCTAAAGCTTCACACAGAGCAGACAATGTGACAGGAGCCCGGCCTTTGTCCCAGGATGCTGCTGCGGGTGGAATGTGGCCGGATGCTGGGCACCTTCTACTATTTAGAGAGGTGAATAGTTTTGTAAGTGCCTCCCCATGCATCTCACAGCATCTTCCAGAGAGGAAACCAAGCCACCCAAGGTGGACTTTGCCGCCAGACCGTGGCCGAAAGGGGCCCATTCTAGGTTAAAACTGGCCATACACCTGTAGAATATTGCTGGAAAAAAATCGTTTTTGGAGTGTTCCTTCAACTTTCTAATACTTTTAATACTCAATAGATTTAGCTACCGCCCCTCTGTCCATGTACTCGCTCAGTGACATACCTGTAGTGAGCACTAACTTCCTGCAGTGATCTCCAAGCTTCTTATAGTGAGCTTCTAACTTCCTGTAGTGAGCTCCTAACTTCCTGTAGTGAGCTCCTAGCTTCCTGCACGGATGTCCTAGCTTCTTATAGTGAGCTCCTAGATTCCTGCACGGATGTCCTAGCTTCTTATAGTGAGCTCTTAACTTCCTGTAGCGAGCGCCTAGCTTCCTGTAGCGAGCGCCTAGCTTCCTGCAGTGAGCTCTTAACCTTCTGTAGTGGGTTCCCAGCTTCCTGTCATTAAATTATAGCCTCCTGCAGTCCTAAACTTCCCATAGTGAGATCCTAGCTTCCTGTAGCGAGCTCCTAGCTTCCTGTAGCGAGCTATAATTTTACACTTTCCTTTTCACTATATTGCACACCACACTATTTTTTTTTTTCTTTTTTACTTCCATCGCTGCAAGCTTGCTCCTGTGATGGACTACAACCTCAATACAAACTAGTAGTCCCATCACTGGAGCCATTTTTTAAACTTTATTTTATAGTTTATCCGATTAACCGAACTTAATAATCGGCTAACTAATCGATTTTGAAAATAATCGTTAGCTGCAGCTCTAGTTCCACACATTGTATCTTTTAGGAAAATATTATACATTGTTCTTTTTCGGGACAGATCACGCTTTCATTTGGCAACAAAGTTGGATAGATATCCCGCTGGTGTGACTTTTATGTAACGTAGCGGGATGGTGAAGCTCAAAGTGAACTATGCGTCACATGAAGAGAAGGTGAAGTTGCGTTAATGAGGACACAAATTAGGACGAAGGCGACTTGTTCACTGAAATGTGAATGACATTGTGCTCACTTCACTAAACGCAAATGTCGTCCACATCATCCCATGTCATTGTTCAGTGGAAGGCCCTCCACTAAGCAAACCCTGGCTCTCCAGCTATGGTGAAACTACAAATCCCATGATGCACCTGTCTCTGGGAGCCATGCCTGTGGCTGTGAGAATCTTGCAATGCCTTGTGGGACTTGTAGTTCCACAGCAGCTGCAATACAAACTGCTGATATACAAGCAAACAAAAACCTGACAGAAGCTCTAACCCTTCCCTGCTCCATCCATAATGATACAAAAAGTTTAGGCCGGCGTTTGCCCAGCCCCGATATCTCTGGTCAAAAGCTAAATAGAAATCTGTATTTCTATATTGAAGTTCTCCCCCCCTCCTAATAACCAGATCCATTTAGAAGTTTGTAATTTACTGACTGAAGATGTCCCATAGGAAGAACTTCCTCAGTGCAGTGACACCATTTCACTCAGCCCTGTGAATATGAACTTCCTGGTGTCACCGCTCTCACAGAGCCTGCCTTCTGAACTGCAACAATGTAACATTATCACTGCTTGCTGGAAGCAGTGCATGATGGGATATGTAATCTTGGGAAATGGAGATTGCATCACATCAAGCAGCCAGGAGAGAGACACAAAGCCCGCTGGGAATCCAGGATAGAGACCTATGACAATGCTGATGTTATAACAGGAGAGGACATGGCGGGACTTTACAGAGTCAGCCTGACTACAACCTGTCGGTTTTTTTCTTCCTGGTTTGCATGGTTGGGTTTGTGACTCTTTCTTCGAAAAGCTTTCCTTCTCTTCTCAGAAAGGTGTTGGTGGTAGGTGTAGGTGTGGGGGGTGAGGAGGGGTGATGAAAAAAAAAGAAACAAAATCATATATTAAAATCCCCCAAAAACCACAAAGGAAAGCAGAAGTTCGAGGTGACACCAGTGGTCGGGTTTTATAACTGTATAGTGTAAAAATCATTTGTTACTGTTGAAGATTAATCTGCTTATATTTTGCCCTCCCTGGCTCCTCCCCCTCATTAAAATGCAAATACATTTTTTAAAATAAAACGTTTCCCTTTCTATTACATATCTTATTCTAGACCCTGTGATGTCATCACTGGGTCTCTGTGCTTCGCTTTGCAATGCAGGCAGATTATGGCTGGTGGGAGGGGCCGGCAGGGTGCCTCAAAAAGCCTTGATGGGTGGGTGTCAGGAGGAGTGGGCGTTCCTAGGCAGGATGTATTTGCATGCAGACCACCCTAAGTATTCCCACATGTCATGTTGAGGCTCTATGATTGACAAGATTGAAATCCAATGATTGAAAGGGGCGGGGCCCGAGACAGTCAGGCTGGAGAGGAAAGGCTAGATGATGCTGGATGTCCTCCAGCCGGGAAATGAGGCGGGCTCTGACTCGCTGCAGCTTCTAATGCACATGGTGAGAAGCTCACAGTGTGCAGTGAAATCAGAGGAAGCCATTCCAGTCCAGGAGATTGGACCTGGACTTAAATTGCTCCCCCCCGCCCCACCCAGCCTGCCTCTCCCTGGCCCCGCCTCTTTCATTGATTAGATTTCACTTCTTTTAATTACAGAGGCTCAACATCACATGTAGGTGGTTCCTAGCTGCAAATACGCCCTGCCAAGGAACGCCCACTTTTTCAGATTGACATTCACCCATCAAGGCATTTTGATATTTGCATAACTCCTCCTACAGCTTGCATCAGGGCCAGTGGCCTCACAAGGGGGGTGCCACCATTGGAGGGGGTGACACCAAAATGACTGGCAGTCATTTTGGTGTCACCCCCTATGAAAAGTTGGGCACCCAGTGACGGACCGAGAGCCAGTCGGTGTCAGGAGAGAGGAGGGGACCCGGCGGCATACCTCATCCCGCCGGTGAACGTCCCCTCCTCTCTCTGCCGGCGTCCATCACCAAGATGGCCGCCGGCAGGCGTCAACAAGACGACCGCGCATGCGCAATGATGTCACGGCGCCGTGTCACCCAGCCTCGGGATGCCCCTGATCAGGGCTGAGGTCTCTTGGGAGGAATACAGAGGCAGGGTGCTGTGATGTTTTCAGGAAACTATGTACAGCACCCTGCCGGCTCCTCCCACCAGCCATGAGCTGCCTGCATTGCAGATACCTTGCGATGACATTATTCCTGTGGCTGTCAGAGTCTTGCAATGCCTCATGGGACTTGTAGTTCCACAACAGCTGGTGTGCCGTGGTTGCCTACTCCAGGTCTACACCATAGAGCAGAGATGGATGCATCGCTTGTGTGTTTCTTTGTAATCTCCTGGCAGATAATAGAATCCTTTGTACATTTGTATCTCTGCAGTGCACAGCTGTTTGGCTGGAGATCCCTCATGACGGAACGTATACATTGTATCTCTCAGGATGGGGAATACACAGCTGCATCGTATGGAACACGGAACACAATCGCTCATTGAAAGTGAAATTCCAGCTGCGGAAAAGAAATATGACGATGGATCGCCTCTTACCATGTTCCCTTGCTTGACGCAGTACCCGCTCTTCAGAACCGAGTGTGACGGCATGTGCTTCTTCACAGGGATATAGCTTTGACACGGCTGGAGCGCGGTAGGAGAGACCAGTTCAGTCGGCTTGGCATCGGGACACTCGCCTCCGTTCTGCGAAACAAACGTCATTTATGTCAATGAGTCACAACGGTATCATTGGTATCAGTGGGAGGAATAGGGCCGTGGGAGGAATAGGGCCCCATCGTTGGTATCATTTGGAGGAATAGGGCCCCATCATTGGTGTCAGTGGGAAGAATAGGGCCCCATCACTGGTGTCAGTGGGAGGAATAGGGCCCCATCACTGGTGTCAGTGGGAGGAATAGGGCCCCATCACTGGTGTCAGTGGGAGGAATAGTGCCCCATCATTGGTATCAGTGGGAGGAATAGTGCCCCATCATTGGTGTCAGTGGGAGGAATAGTGCCCCCATCATTGGTGTCAGTGGGAGGAATAGTGTCCCATCATTGGTATCAGTGGGAGGAATAGTGTCCCATCATTGGTATCAGTGGGAGGAATAG